AAGTTAACATCCTACTTCCAAGCTCACCCGGTAGAAGTCTTGACTGACCAACCGCTGGGTGCAGTGTTGCGAAATTCAACATCCTCCGGGAGGATGGTGAAGTGGGCGATGATGTTAACTCAATTCAACATTGAGTACCGGCCGAGATCAGCAATCAAAGGGCAAGCCCTTGCGGACTTCCTCGTGGAAATGACCGGTGTAACTCCAAATGCACCGGTCGACAAGCCTACCGAGCAGTGGTGGGAGATGGCAGTAGACGGGGCGTCCGGTCCTAAAGGTTACGGGGGTGGTATAGTCTTTACTACCCCGGAAGGATTCAAAATTTACCATGCAATCATCTTCAACTTCAAGTTGACGAACAATGAAGCAGAATACGAAGCTCTTGCTGGAGGGCTCAGACTTGCTCAAGCTCTCAAAATCAGCCGGGTCAGTATCAAATCTGACTCTAGTCTGATTGTTGGGCAAGTGACCGGTAATATGGAGGCTAGAGAAGGACGAATGGCGCAATACAAGGACCTGGTGCTCGCCTTGTTGAAAAGCTTTGAGGAATTCAAAATTGCCCAAATCCCCCGGGCAGAAAATGCAGATGCAGACCTTCTCTCCAAACTAACGCAGTATGCCCCCGAGCATGTTACAAAACTTGCCCGATTGGAAATCCTGGACTGTGCCAGCATCGAGAAACTAGAAGTAGCTGCCATAACAGGGGAAGCCCAATCTGACCGGTCAAACTTAGTCGGGGCGGATGACCACTGGATGTATGATCTGATGGAATATCTGATGGACGGGACCTTGCCGAAACAAGATGACCGAGCAAGAAAAGTGAAGCTCAGGGCACCCCGGTTCCAAGTCCTTGACGGAAAGCTGTACAAGAGGGCGTTCGGGGGACCCCTCCTGAGGTGCCTAACCAACCGGGAGGCTGAACGGGTCATAGCAGAAGTCCATGAGGGTGTATGCGCGGCGCATCAAATGTCCCGCACTCTTTCCCAGCGCATCGTCTTGTTGGGGTATTACTGGCCAACAATTGTCTAGGATTGCGAGAGGTACGTCTAGAAGTGCAGAACGTGCCAAGTGTTCTACAAATACCCCGGTAGGCCGGCGACCTACTATCACCCCGTATCAAACATCATCCCTTTCGCTAGATTCGGGGTGGATATCATTGGGGCATTCCCAGTCGCCCAAGGAAGGAAGAAATTTGTAATCGTGGCCATCGATTACTTCACCAAATGGATCGAAGCCGAGGCGTTGGCCAATATCACCACGCAGCAATGCAAGAAGTTCATTTGGAAGAACATCATCACCAGGTTTGGGGCTCCCATGAACCTAATTACCGACAACGGCCCACAATTCCGAAATCCAAGATTCACTGAATACTTGGAGGGCTTCGGAATCAAGCACAATCGCTCCTCGGTGGCGTACCCCCAAGGAAATGGCCAGGTTGAAAATGCTAACCGAACGATTGTAGATGGCCTAAAGAAACGGTTGGGAGAAGCGGGAAACAAGTGGCTGGAAGAGCTCTCACATATCATCTGGGCATTCCGAGTAACACCCAGGAGGGCTCATGGGGAAACTCCATTCTCCCTAACCTATGGGTGTGAGGCAAGGCTGCCCATCGAAGCCGAATTCCCAACGTTTCGGGAATCAAATTATCAACCTCAGCAGAACGAGGAAGATCACTTGGCCGAACTCAACTTGGTCGAAGAACGGAGAATGGCTGCGGAAGTTAAAATGAGCACATATCAACAAGTTGTGAAGAAATACCATGACAACAAGGTTGGACCACGATACTTTCAAGTCGGCGATGAAGTCCTGCGAAGAAGGGAGGCTAGTAGACCGGGAGACGGGGGAAAGCTGGCCAAAAACTGGGAAGGGCCTTACCGGGTGAGAGCTATCATTCGCCCGGGAACCTACCGGTTAGAAACCCTAGATGGTGTACTGGTAGAAAGGACTTGGAATTCCCATCATCTTCGCAAATTCTACAAGTGATTGTAATGCTAGGCAAGGCCTACTTTATTATCAATCAAACCAATGACATTCAAAACTCTACATGGTAGCAGCAGAGTTGATAGGTCGAACCTATCCTAGGAGGGCTTCCCGGGTGGATCGGATCCACTCGGATAGGCCAACTGAGACACAGGCCCGGACCTGGCACGCTGGTTACTACACCGGTCTTGCTCAGTATAATAGAAAAAATATTAAAACCCGGAAGAGGGGCCCGGAAGAGGGTATGCCTGCAAGAGGGCTGGACCTGGAAGAAGGTTCGAACCATACTTACACGGGCCCATGAGGTTTGACCGGTATCGGGGAATCAGCCGGTACCGTCAAATTGATTGGGGACTAAAAGATGCCCATTAAAAGAAATAGAAGGGGATCGTCCACCGTGGCGCATCCTGTTTCCCCCTTCTCAGGGAAGACTTGAACGGGGGGGGTGAGCTAAGGCCTTCCCCGGATGGTAGAAATCAAAGGGCCATTAAAAAGACTTAATCACCCGGAAGAGGGGGCCCTGGAAGAAGGGTGCATTTGAACCTTGGAGAGGATTCGAAACCATTCGAACATGGTTAATTCTCCAGTATTCTTACCGGTTAAGGATACTTCAAGAAATTACTAGGTTACAGGTGTTCCATCTACAACCTACCGGTCATAAAAAAAAAAAAAGAATACCCCGGTTGGGTATTGATACAGAGGAACTTCGAAAGTTCCACAAGGCGAAGCAGTTCACCGGTCAGACCGTGGAGAAGGGACCTACCGGTCAAACTTTGCTTCAC